ATTTATAGTAATTACGTCTAAAAAGTCACTGTGAACACCGAGTTAGTAAATACTAAACCAGTGCTCCTAGGGGAAATACAGGGTTAAGTTTCTGTGAACCTCTGATCAAACATTTTTGTTAATCAATCAATACATAACCTTCCAGAACTATATACATACGATACAGAACCTCTTATGTATATTTCTGTTTAAAGACACTTTATTTAATATATATTGTTGACTCAACACTGAACTCTCAGCCAACGGAACAATAACTCACGCCTAAACAAAACTTTAAACTTCTTCATAAGGCACATTTTGTCCTTAGGAAGAACAGATAGCGCTACACTTGGGAGCCATTTGAGGCAACAAAATCACCAACAAAATTTGAAAAGCCATGGCATTTAATATACCACAAAAAGGACACTTTGTTTACAGTATTAGAGCCGAAACAAGAAAGCAGACTGACGCCTTGTCTCACCTCAGCTGGGAACATGCACATCAGGCAATTCAAAATTTTTACCATTTCTGGTCTGTGAAGAGTTTTCTTTGATCAGTGAAACGGCTCAACTTTAATTCATTGTCAAATTTAAAAACCAGGAAATTTCACATAAAAATCCAGATTTCTGGTTTTCTTTAAAGATCAAGGTCACAAGATGTGGTAACAGATGGCTGCAACTGAGCAAGTGACCTTTTAGATAGGGGCTGTGCTTAGTTGACCCTACTCCCTACCACTCCCCACTACATTACACCCTGCTTCCCTAATTTACTGCCACCTGGCCCCTGATGTAAATGCATCATTTAACAACCCAGATGTTTGTTACTAAATTGCTGACTGCAGAAAAGTACAAATCAGGATGTATAACATAAGCTCATTTTTGTAAAAGTTACGACACAGGGGAAAACTTCTGGTTATACACTAAAACACTAATGGTGAAGTTAAGGATGACCCTTTATTTTTATTTCTTCTTATTACTCATATATTTTTTTAAACTAGTGAATATACATACGTTACTTACATAAAAGTTTTTTATAACAGCTTTGAAATATAATTCACATATACGATTCACCCAGTTACAGTGTACAATTAATGGTTTCTAAGTATATTTGCAGACGTGTGCAGCCATCACTACAACTTTAGAACATATTAATCACCTCAAAAAGAAATCCCATATCCTTCAGTTATCATTACCCTATCCTCTCATCCACCTCCAAGCCCTAAGCAACCACTGATCTACTCCCTGTCTCTACAAATATACCTATTTGGGACACTTCATATAAATGGAATTATATGTGATCTTGTGTGTTAAGCATGTTTTCTAGGTTCATCCAGGTTGTAGGACGTGTCAGCACTTCATTATTTTGTATTGCTAAATAATGTTCCATTTTATATACATACACATTTTATTTATCCATTATCAGCTGATAGACATTTAGGTTGTTTTCCTCCTTTGGCTATTATGAATAAATGCTGCTATAAATATTCACATACAGGTTTTTGTGTGGACAGATGTTTTCATTTCTCTTGGGTAAATAACTAGGAGTGGGATTGCTGGGTTGTAATGGCAACTCTATGTTTAACGATTTAAAGAATTGCCGGACTGTTTTCCAAAGTGGCTGCAACATTTACATTCTCGCCAGCTGTGTACAAGAGCGCTGAGCTGATTTCTCCACACTCTCACCAACGCTTGTCGTTATCTGATTTTTTGAGTCTAGAATAATCAAAGTTCATAAGTGTTAATCCATCATAACATGCCCAGAGTTTTATACACTTCAAGGTATTCTTCACTGACATTAAATTTTAGACTTGAAGAGTCCAGTCCTAGACCTGCTCCCCTCGCCTGCCCACCTTTAGTAAAATGAGGAGACAGGAATAAGCAAGCTACACCCCCACCCACAAATAAAACTTTTACAGAAGAGATCGGCAGCAGATTTTCTAAGCACTCAACAGAACAAAGTCCCTAAATGGGATCTGGCACTGAAATGAACGTGTGTTCCCATCAAAACGCATTTGTAATGCCTCCTACATAAATGTAACTTCAAGTCATAGCAGCACACACGAGTGTCTTGATCACCTTTCATAAAAGAACCAAGATGTCTTATGTTTTCTCATTCAGAATCCACTGCTCAAATCCTGCTTTAGTAGGAAAGGAGAAATGAAATCTGATTTAAAATTGGGGCAAACACACATATCCAGTGGCACAAACATACAAAAGGCCTGACAGCTCCCTCACCCCGAGCCAGAGTGCACTGGACAGCCTTTCCCAGCTCTGCCCGTCAGTGCTCAGTCTCAGGGCAGCACTGGGAGAAGAGCAAGCAGCAAATACTACGGACACATTTACAGCAGCCCAAGGCGGCACTGAGAACAAGCGCCAATAAGAAGAGGGTCTAAGAATCTTAGCACCCAGTGAGTGACACGCTCACCCAACACATATTTTCCAAGAGTAAAACTGGCATCTCAGCCAGGAAGGGGGTGAGCCACACAGTCCCCTCTGAGAATTACTGCTTTCAGGCCTCAGTTCTGCACTGTGAGCAAGGGCCTCCATAAGGCACTGGAGTCAACCTGTGCTACCATTTCAGGCAAGGCAGAAGGTGGAGCTTCATGGCCACCAAATCCCCCGTTTCTACTTGCCCATTTCCTCCATTTCCCTATTTAATTAAGAAGGTGTTTCCAACTCAAACAAATTTAGCACATTTTTGTAAACATTTACTCCTCATCTACTATATGCAGGTACGCGAAGACACAAAAATAGTCTATTAGGAAAAGGAGTTAAGTCTTATCAGAGAAAACAAAACTTTATTTTTAAAAGAGCAAATACTATTGTTTTTGTATAAGGGCAATGATGCTACTGCAGTTCAGAGGAAGTGGAGCATCTCAGAGGATGGAATATTTGGGGAGTGTTTCACAAAGAAGGTGGGAAGGACCTGAGCTGGACTCTGGAGAAAAGAGAAGAGGAGCTGAAGGAAATGGGTATCCCAAAGTGGGCAAAAGCCACTGGAGTCAGCTGGCAAGAGGAGCTG